ATTTGACTTACACCACTATGGCTTTTACCCGTCCATATGTAACATTATTTATAAGAAAATTATATTGTAATAAGGAATTATAAGGAAACGTGTAATAAATTTGAAATTGTATGATACTAATGCCGGATATATTATACGAAATCAACATAAGACGATTTCTTAATAGATAATAACGGTGTTTATTCTTTATCTATAGAATTTCACATTTTAAAAATTATCGTTAATTATTATAATTTTCACATAAATGTGAAGGTTTGAATCAACGCTCAAATAATAGCTTCTTGCTTGCAAAATTTGACATTTATCTGAAAATTAAAATTATAAAATTACGATTATATTTTTCAAAATTATGAGATACAAAGTTCGTAATAATTTTGAAGAATGTAATCTTAATTTTGTAATTTTAATTATCGTAATTCGTTATTAATTGGAATACGCAAGATGGAAGCGCGGCCGCCGCGGCCAGAATATCCCCTCCAGCTGGCTAGTTCGGCTTCGGCACGAACCTAGCACGGACGCAAACCATGTGCGGTTACCGAGCGATACGACGTAGTTGAGTTGCATTTTCTCAGGCGGCGCGTCGGAAAATGCAACACAGCAACACACGAAAAAGGCCGGGATGGCCTCTCTCAGGTTTCTCTCTGACGGTGTGAAGAATTGAGGAATTGTATTGTAGGTTATAGTTGTAAGACGCCTTCGCGTGTGTTACACGAGTGTCAAAGTGAGCGTGTTTTTGCCAGTGAAAGATGCTAAAGGAACAAAATTGAAACAAGAAAAATACCAATAATACGTCAATCTAACAAGTAATGCAAAATAAAAATTCTTTTTATTCATTTCCGTAAAATAAAAATATCTCTTTGCAATGTGTAACAAAAAATTGCTCTAATGTATATAGAAAGATTTCAAGAATCTTTCTACTAAACAACTTAATAATTCTTTAAAATTGTTTATTATTCTATAAATTTGATGTCTTAAAAAATATATTTTTTCAATCACATTACGAGTATTAGCTAAGTTATAGAATCAATTATCTACCTGATTATACTACCAATCACAAAACACTTTGCAAATGTACTAAGTTTAAGGAATAATTGACATGTTATTCTTACTCAAAAATAATCCAACTAAATAAAGTTTCCATTATTCTCAGATCAAAGGACACGCCTAATCCACTACTTTGTATCCGAGAAAGAGTTTTGAACTCCAAAATCATGTCAACATTGGAGGATAAAATTTTAGGAGAGAAATTGCACTACTATTGCAGCAGTAGTTCTAGCGAAGATGAAGGAAATAATTCTGGGGATTCTGACAAAGAATGTGACGATGTAAAATATGCTGACGACACTGCACAATATACCACGCCTTCATATTCAGAATGGGATGGGACCTCCAGTAACACAGGACCTAAAGGTGTTATAAAGGTATAATTATCTACGTTTTGTGTTTATTATAATTATGGAAAAATCAAAATTTAGAAACCAAGTTCAGCGCATGTATACGCGTGTATTATATTTAAGTTTTATTATCAAATGTGTTAAACAAAAACTTGACATTGAATTCGAAATGTATTCTTGGAAGGATTGGCAACGATATAAGCAGTTGGAAGCAGAAAAGCGAGAATCACAAGAGAAGGAAAGGCTACAGTTGATAAAAAAATTAAGTCTAACGTGCCGCAGTACTTTGGATGAAGAAAAAGAGAAAATGAATGAGGCTGATCCAGAGTTGGCAGACTTATTAACCGATGAATTCCTTCTGGAGTATCAGAGACAGAGAATGAAAGAAATGCTCGCGAAAACAAAGAAACTCTACTTTGGGAAAGTTATCGATTTGGAAAATACAGATCAGTTTCTGCAAGCCATTGATGAAGAAGACAAGTCAGTGATTGTTATCGTTCACATTTGTGAGGATAATGTAGCTGGATGTGAAGCTATGAATGGATGCTTGATATCTCTTGCGAAAGAATACCCTTACGTAAAGTTTTGTAGAATTCTAGGTTTGTTGACTCTGACATTATAAAATTAAAAATAAGCAAAATATTTTTAATTATATCTAAATTTTCAAACTGCAAGTAAATAATAAGGTCTTATTTATTTATCTTTAAACAGAGCTAGTTTTAATTTTATTTTTATTATTATTATTTTATCATTTTATTATTTAGTTGTAGTTTTAGTTTGATTTTGTATATCAATATTTTTTAGAATCTTAGAAAAAGATTTGATCTTATTATTATAATACAAATATATTGTAGCAATTTTTTTCCCCCCAAGACAATATACTACTTTATAACATCCTTTTCCTTCAGGCTCAGTTGCAGGTCTCAGCAAACAATTTAAGAAATTTGGCGTACCAACATTGCTGGCGTATAAAAACGGACAGGTGATAGGAAACTTTGTCCACGTTACGGATCATCTAGGAACGGATTTTTACTCATCGGATGTGGAAGCATTTCTCATCGAGCATGGGATTCTCACTGATAAAAATTGCGTACCGCTTATCGTTTCAAAGAACGAAAATGGAGCTTCTGATAGCGAATAAGAAATTATCATTCCTTTTAAAATAATCTATTAATATACTTTAATATATTTATAATAAATCGAAATAACTTGATATATTATTGAAAATAATTGAAACTTATACCACAAAATATTTATTAAAAGATAATCGAATATAGATTATAAAAAAGTGCAAAAAGTATTTACTTTTAAATCAGATATATAGATATATATACACATGTATTTATATTGTTTTGATTATTAAATCCCTTTATATTTCACAGAACTATTTCAACATGTCCAAGATGTGTTTTTTCTTCTTTATCGCATTGCAAAGTTGCGAGTAGGTTAATAACACCTGATCGTATTCCGTATTTTTCAAATTATCGTACAGCTTTTTTAAATCTTCTTTCTGATGAATTTCATCCATAACTACTTTTAACTTCTCCTCGACTAATCGATTTAGCATTCTGAAAGCATCAACGGTAGTCGATGTTTCTTTGAACATTCTGATTATGCAAGAGAGCTTTGTTATCTTTGCCTGTAACTCGGCAACCTGCGCCTGCAGCAACAAATACCCTGTCTTTTCTAAATATGCTCGGCTCACATTTTCGTATTTCAACTCGTTCCACTTGTCCATTAAGTTTATGTATTTCAACAAGTCACTTTCACATTGCTGGATCAAATCCTCAATTTTATTCTTCCATTGTACTCCTGGCACGTCGTGATATTCCAACAATTTGTTGTGCATCTTGCATTCGCTGTTCTTCGACGCTTCCTTAGCATTTCCTCCTAAGGCTTCGTATCTTATAACACAGACATTAATAAATATTATAAAATTATATTATAAAACTTGGTTTATGTTAAGTTGATAAAATCTTTCTTTTTTCTTATATATAACAAGATACTCACTTTAACATCATATCATGTATCTTTTCTCGCAGCATTGTCTCGATGCAGCACTTCACCTCCAGTTTCTCGTCAGGATTCAAGTCACATGGTGATAAGTCAATAATTCCCAAGAGCATCAATTTATCTTGCATGTGCTTCGTTGTCGAAGGAAGATGCATGTACTTATCCAGTTCGTGAATTAAGAGCAACATTCGTAATTTGCTCGCCGTACTCTTGGACAGAACATCATTGTTGCTCAAGGATGCCTTCTTCATACATTGATAGACAATATTGGTTTTGACATGTTCACTTATATTTTCCTCGCACAATATCAAAGAGCTTATTGTTTTCTCGATTGCGCTTGTTTCCTGGGTTATTGCAATCCTGTCGTTGCCTCTCGTTGCACTGGACTGGTCTAACAAACTTTGCGACAAGTCCACTCTACCAATTAATCTACTGCTAGACTGCGAGATTGCTGAAATACTGGAAATATCTATAAAGAAAAGAAACCATAAAAAACATAATAAATTTATAACATATTATCCAATCAGACCTTTATGCATCTAATGTATAAATGTGTAGACTTTAAACAGAAGTTTCTTAACTAGTTTATTAACTAGATATTTTCTTTAATTATATCTGCTTTAATATAACTTCTTAAAAGTAAAAAAATACATCACTTACCCGATATTTGATGCAAATCGCTAAAATAACTCATACTTGATGCCCCTATTGAAGAACTTAACCACTTAAATAATAGGAATAATTAAATAATAGGAATAAATACGTTAACAGTAATTAATCTTTTTTTCTCCTTTATTATAAAGATTTATTCTTTTTAAAAAGTAATATTTTTCTGTTTTAATAATCGACAAATGTTATCTGAACAATAACCGTTTCACAAACATGTTCAAAATTCAAGATAAACATGTCAGCTGACTATGGACTATGGACAGAGAGGCTATCCCGGCCTTTTTCGGGCCCTGTACGTTACCGCCAGTACATCCATTTTCGAAATTGGTACTACGTAGCCACGTTCATTTCCCGACACTGCCGATAAAACATTATTTTGGTGCGCGTCCGTGCTACATCTGCAAATGTAGTCATCGACATACCACTTACCTACCCGAATCCCTACCTACCCATATGCCCGTATCCCTATACCTACCTACCCATATTCCGATTTATCCCTGGTAACCATTCCTTTGCAATTCTGCTGTAAAACTGCACGAAAAGTAGCTTCTTACAGCAAACTACTGCCAGACTACTGCAATAGTACAGTAAGTACTCGTTCAATCACAGATATTATGCACTTTTGTCGCAATTTTAGACTGTTTTCTTGCGCACTTCTTCGGGACGCATCTGAACTAGCAAACTGGTTACCAGGGATAGTTCTACCTCTCTATCATTGTCCTCTCTATCATCACCTCTCACCTCTCTATCATTGTCCTACCTACCCGTATTACAATTTAGTATAAATCTCATATTTTAATTCAGATCGCGACACGATTCATATAAAGGACCTGATTTGCTGGTTAATCCAGCGGGATATCTCAAAGTGATATTATCACTTGAGCTTTTGGGAAATGTTATGGCTGCGTTCGAAAACTTTACTCGGATGCACACCGCATTGTTCTATCTTTGTTACTTACTAAAAATTGAACAAAGACAGAACGACGCGGTGTGCACCCGAGTAAAGTTTTCGAACGCAGCCTAGAATTGAGGGTTTTAACACGCACGCGATTAGGATTTAATTGAAGAGGGATTTTTTAATCCCGCACATATGCGAGTAAATATATAAAGAAAATAGGGTAATTATACATTTTAGGGGAGGCACTTCCGATGACCTTGACCTTGACATATGTTGTGGCTGTACTTCCGAAAACGTCCGTGCTCAGATTTAGTTGAATCTTTAATATGTTCTCTTCCTTTAAATATAGAAATGGAAAATAAATTCTGACTTTGCAGGGCCTCCCGTTCGTTCGCGCATCGTCTTCAGAGAGGAGATACGAATAAACTCGTGTTTCTTTTTTAGCAAATAAATTTATTAATAAATACAATGAACACCGCGAGAAAAGAGAGAGTAGTCCAAAGCACAGATTCCTCAGGTCGTCCGAGCAAAAACACGAGAAAGATTCTCCCTCTGCTATTCCAGCGTGTCCTTCCCCGTCCTCGGCAACAGAAACGAGAAGATACCGCAGGCTGAAATCGAATTATATTATTATATCACTGTATTCGAGTGGATTAAGCTACACTTATTTTCTACATCTCATACACATTAGAATCACTAATTTAATGTAAAATCTTATAGTCGAAACGGTTCTAGCAAACAAATTAAATGGTTACAGTAAGCAAATAAGTTAATATCGCTCAGTATTCGTATATTCATGGAACACGAACAGAACTCAATTAAGTAAAAAGCGAAATATGCCAATATACTGTCGAGCTGGATCTTTTGCGCTTAATAATAATTATTCGCATGAATTTATGTACATTTTTCGCCCAGCAAACTACGCGTCGCTATTACCGGTTTTGAAACGCAGTCTCAAGTTAAAGCTAGAATAGTACAATCACATAATTAAATTGATAATCAATTTAATAACATTACCAATATGAATCTTTAAAAACCATTGCAAAAGCTGGGCGAAAAATGTATGGCGCGAGACACTATACCGTGTCTCTTGATATAAATTCACGCAAATAATATTAGCCGACACAAAAAAGATCCAGCCCATCCGTATATTGATACATTTCTTATTTATATTATACTTGATATTGTTAACATAGTCATGACTCACTTAGTATAAAAACTAATTAATATTTATATATACAAATAGGACAAGAGACCAAATAACGCTCTTCTATCCGCGCATGTTCGGGGAAGAATTTAAACATTTAAGTCCTGATCAGAGAATCAAACTTCAGGTACTGTAAAGATCTTCTTACCGAAGAGAAACGCGGCGAACAGTATGATGGGAATCACGCAGGCTAAATCGATCAGATAACCGAACACCAGGTTGCCGATCAGAGCACCTAGACGCCCCATGGTCATTGACAGAGCCGCGGCCATCACTCTGTAACGTGACACCGGATTAATGAATCACAAAAATCAGAAGAGCTGAAGGAGTTCGAATCGCAATTTGCTCACCTGAGATTCGTCGGAAACATATCGACGATCACGCAGTAGACTAGAGAGATTCCGAGGGACGTGAGGGCCTCGAATACGCACGAGAGCACCAGGTTCTGCGTCGAATTCACCACGTAGTAGAAGCCCACCGTCACCGCGCCGGAAACCACCAGCGACACGACTGAAAATGTAACGTAGCGCGCGTCTCGTTTAATTCTAATTGGAATCTAATTATATGAAAATATTAAGGTCTCAAAATTTAAACAAACGTTTTAGAGATCTAATAAGATTCAAATTATTAGACTCTAATCTAATTTTGTTATGAGAATCGGAATCTAATTGGACATATTTATCTAAATAGTTGCCCGATCGATTTCTCCTTCTGTCCCTTAAGGGTATCCAAGGGTATCCCAAGTCAAATATTATCACTCACTCAGGAAGAACTTTGCGCCCAGTTTGTGCACGAAAAGGGGTAGGATGATTGAGCCGGGAATACACGCGAGGCCGATGTACACGGTGTGCAGATAAACGGAGGGCGCGATTATCGTATCGCATCCGTAAGGGTCGAAGAAGGTCGTGTTGTCCGGCAGAGAGGACACTATGCACACCGACGTGGTCTCGCCGGGATTCGCGTGCTCAAACTGCTCGAATCTATTGAATACAACGCAAACGAGGATTAAATTAGCACTAAGATATTGCAAGTTGCATAAGCGAAACAAAATTAGACCGTTAAAGAAGACGGTCGGTGAAAGTTTAAGCGGAATTATTGGCAGAAAGAAAAAAGAAAAGAAGAAGAGAATAGAAAAGAGACTTATTTTTAGTGGTACAAAATGCCCTTTATATTATACTTTTAAATTTTATTTGCGTTTACAACTACAACATACGTTCTCTCGTTATTATGATTTTATATTTAAAGAGCTTCTTCCGGCCTAAGAATTCAAAAGAATTGACGCGCATCAATTAAGACATTAAGAGATTTACCTAGTAAACAATTCCGGGAACCAGACCATCAGTGTGTAATAGCTACTGGTGAGTCCAAATTGAATAGCGCAAGCGAGCACGGTGTTGCGCAAATAGGGCGGCTTGCAGAGCGCGCTTGTCAGATCACGTATTTCCGCGAACAGGACCTTCAGATCCTTCCGCTTGTGCAGCTTCAGCGATCTGGTGCTTTTGTCCTTCGCCTTCTCTTGCAAACATTTCACCTGCAGAAGCAGGAGAAAAAAAGAGAGGATAAAATAAAATATATTTTATTTTTTTAAACTTAGTCCCTTCCACGTTCTCTAAATACCTGAAAATAATGAACTAAAAATCGCTTTTTTTTGGAGTCACGCATATCTTATTTCACCATTAACGTTCATTAGACACTTATAAAGTATTTAATATTGTTATCAATTGCTATTGTTTATAAAGCAGTCTACATGAAAAATCTATATTAATTTTTTTATTTAAATTCTAGGAAAACATACATGTAAGAATACTTAAAATTATTGTCTTTCATCATTTCTAGAATGAAAAAGTTAAAATAATGTTACCGGATAGGTTTCTGGATCGGCGCCGGTGTTTCTCGAGTAAATCCACTTGAACACCTCGAGGGCGGCATCGGTCTCGCCGCACTCCAGCAGAAACTTTGGGCTCTCGGGGAAAGCAAATAGCCACAGGCCGAGCATGAGCGATGGCAGAGCGCAGAGCGCGACAAAGAGATTCCAGGACTTAAAGTAGAACGTCTCGCTCACGATAGTGAGGTCCATAGGGATGATCAGCCAAGCGATCACTAGAAATGATTTTGACTTGGATGCCGACTTCTTGGATTTTTGCCTCTTAAAGGTAGATTGATAAGGGACGGAAATTACTTACGCGGCAAAACTATCACGCCGACTGTCCAGAACATCTCCATCCAGCAGAGACAGCGTTCGCGGTATTTCGTGGGTTGAAACTCGCCGAGATACGGAAAGCAGATGCCCATGGCGCCGGTCACACTGCGTAACGATCGAAACTTTATTAATTTAATGTTATAACTATATACTTTATATTATATTATATTATGTTATATTATATTATATTATATTATATATTATATTA